ATATATATATATATATATATATATATATATATATATATATATATATATATATATATATATATATATATATATATATATATATGCAAATAAATCACTGTTAAGTGCTCCGGTGCAAGTGACCCATGTACCATATTTTATGGCATATAAGACACTTTTTTGTCTGAAAAATTGCTCTAAAAATCAACCTACATCTTATATGTGAAGTTGAGGTAGCCTGTAGGCTAACGAATCCCCAGTTGCTGTCTTCAGTAGTTTAAATTCTACCTAGCCCAACTCCAGAATACATTATTGCTTACTTAAACACACCATTATTACTTTTAATTCATAAAAAAAAATAAAATAAATAATAAAAATATTGCAAATATATTGTAAAAGCTGTATTTATAACTTTTGTACTAATGATGATAACCCGAGATGATTAATGTCTGTATGGCAGGCACCCAATTCTTCAGAGTTAGGCAGTGACCATTTCTGAACACACAAGCATCACATCCCTGCTACATTTATCTTTAAATCTACAAATACCCAATAAAAATTAAGATTTACCGATAAATTTTTTTCACAATTTGCATCTGTTAACATCATTGGCGGCATTGTAGCCAAATTAGACCATTCACCGCAACCACCGGGCTACCAGGCCAAACTGTGAGCTATGTTATGGTTATTTTTCAACTTGTATTTTCGGGTAGATATGTGTGACTTTTTTTATACATACAGTAGTACCCCGATTTACGCGGTCAATTGAACCCACAGGGTTCCGCGTAAAGTGAAAACCGCGTAAAGTGAACAACAGAACATATGGGATTAATTCCAATAGAGACTGGCCCGACCCCCAAACTCCACTTTTTGACGACACAAACTATGTTGTAGTAAAAATATTATCTTAACTTTATGATGGTATGCACACACAATTAATAATTAAGAGAAATATCAATAATATTAGTTTTTTAACACTTACATTAATAGAAAAGATGGCTGGGCACACAGGGATGGGGGGTTGGTTCCGAGGCAGAGGGCAGATTATTGGCCCTCACCTGTATCACTTGTATCAATTGTATCACTATCCACCACAGAGGCTTGCAAGGCCTCTTTGTCAAAGCCCTCAAAGTCCATATAAGTCCATATCCTCACTATAATTATCACTATCACTGACTTGGGCCGGTTGTGGTGGGTGGTGGGTGAAGAACTCGGTAATGTTTTGATGACTGGGCGACCTTGTGCGCATCCTGCCCGCGCCGCTTCCCGCGTATATGAGTAGATGCACCGCGGAAAGTGAAAGTTCGGTTCTGGCGAGGCACCGCGTAAATGAGAAATCGCGGAAAGTGAAACCGCGTAAAGCGGGGTAATACTGTATTGTGCACAAAAAAGAAAGTAAAAGAAATAATTATCGTAAGGTCAAACACAAAGGGAATAAACATTTCTTTACTCACCAGTTAGCTGGCTCAGTGGGGGAGCAGGAGAAGGGCACAGAGTATACAAATGTTGTTTGAAGTAGCACAATTGTTAAATACGTAACATAAGCAAGGTAGGTATGGTTTATGAATGCAGGGAAAGTTACATTTATCTATCTGAAATAATAAGTTGAAAAATAACCATAACATAGTTCACAGCTCAGCCTGGTAGGGAGAGGGATAAGGAGGATGTGGCTACAGTGATGAGTCTAAGTTGGCAACAATGCCACCAGCAATATTAACATATGAAAATGAAAGGAAAATTTTCTGTAAATCTTCATTTGTACTATCACATTTTGTAGATTTAAAGCAGCATATATACTGAATTAAGTTCTGCTCCTCATGTAGGAATATGTTGAAAGAATCTATGAATACAGTAGGCAAGCCCAGGATAAAGGAGCCTACCATGAGCAGGTTCTGGGTAACAATTATTAACCCTAAATGACCCATGAAAATGTATGAATTCTAACCCCTCAAAAATAATACTCGTATATACAGTAAAAACCCTGAGTACTGAACCACTTGAATAATGACACGAACCTTGGATTTTTTTTTTGGGTTAAATTAAAAAAAATATCTTGAATATCTTGTGAGTCATTGTTATTGTTGTGGAATGATACAGCATGTACCATGTGGTCCCACCCACATCAAATTAACACAGCTGCGCTGTACTCGGTCAACGTGTGACTATTATTCGGTGCAGACATGCCTGTTCTCTTATGACATATAAATAACACCCATTGTGAGAACAATGCCCAAGTAAGTATGTTTGGTTAAGGCCCCAAAGAGCAGAAAGTGCTTTACCATGAAGGAGAAACTTGAATTACAATACTAGCTATGGTCGACAATAAACACTCTGTTCCCGAGAAAATGCAGAAATTTATGAACTGAATACAGTATACTGAAAGCATATCGTAAGTTTGATTCACTTCATCTCCACTGAAAGTGAAAATGGGTCCCAATACACACCAGCATAATCTTCACTACATAACACATGTCTCCAGGCAGCTGTGACCTTGAGATGGCTATGCATGTTGCCACAGAATCATGTAATGAAACTGTAAAAGTTGTGAGAAAATCATGTCAGTACCCTAATGTGACTTGAAGATAAAAGAAATATAATATAAAACAATAAAAAGGAAAACGAAAATTGAAGAACATGAGTGTGAACAGTATTCTGTGTGGGAGGTGAACTTATATACAGTATATGGATGTGCCACGCGATACATGGCGCAGCAGCCATGCTTCTAAGTGAGGTGGCGCCTGACTGGCTGAACTCGTTCACTTTCAGCATCACCCATAAGATGGTTCAAGGGTGAAACGAGCAATTTTTTGTACATATAATATTTACTATTGTATTTTATGATGTGCTATGTATAGTATTGTTTTCATAGCTTATTATAGCAATTTTTGCTATTTTTTGGTACAGGGTATATGTAAAATACAGAATAGCGAAGGATTGAAAGCTACAGTATTCCCTTTTACTCAGTATTAAATTTACCTATGACAATGAAGTTCCCGAGAACAAAGTGGATTTTGTGATCATATCCACTTCATTGCCAGAGGTATACTGTACACATTCACATCATCCACTTTATCTCACTACACAAGGTCATATATTGACATACATACGTACATTGGGACTTGAGAACCTTAAAAAGTCTTCTTTGCAGTTCTGAAAGGTTCTATAATCTAGAACACTACTTACATCTATTAACAATTTAAATATAAAAACAACCAAAAATTTACTGAAAGTATATCATAAACTTAAATAAGACAATCTGTGTTAGTGTAATATGCTGGCTATTGTTTTGAACAGTTGTGCTTCCCTGCTGGTATGGACGTAAATAACGGATTCTGTCTGATTAACGACATCGCTGTGGCTTAATTAGTCCAGTACAGTACTCAGGGTTTTTACTGTAGTTCAACCCCCTACTTTTTGCATAAAATTTTGATAATTAAAAATATGCACTATACAGTGAACCCTCACTTTACGCGGTCAATTGAACCCACGGCGGCCCGCGTAAAGTGAGAAACGCGTAAAGTGAACAACATAACATATGGGATTAATTGAAATAGAGACCAGGCCGACCCCCAAACTCAACTTTTTCAGACACAATACCTACGTTGTAGTAAAAATAACTTCTTAATTTTATGATGGTATGCACACACAATTAATAATTAAGAGAAATATCAATAATATTAGGTTTTTTTACACTTACATAAGTAGAAAAGATGGCTGGGCACACGGGGATGGGGGGTTGGTTCTGCGGCAGAGGGCAGATTATTGGCCCTCACCTGTATCACTTGTATCAATTGTATCACTATCCACCACAGAGGCTTGCAGGGCCTCTTTGTCAAACCCCTCAAAGTCCATATAAGTCCATATCCTCACCATCATTATCACTATCACTGACTTGGGCCGGCTGTGGTGGGTGAAGAACTCGGTAATGTTTTGATGACTGGGCGACCTTGTGCGCACCCTGCTCGCGCCGCTCTCCCCGTAAAATTGTACACACACCGCAGAAAGCGAGCATTCCGGTTTTGGCAGGGTACCGCGTAAACGTGGAAACGCGTAAAGTGAAACTGCGTAAAGCAGGGGTTTACTGTACTCAAGTACTGTATATACGGTATACGGTTACAATGCCTTTCTCCTTATTTATAGGGCTTCTCCTGAGGGCACAATCATTGGTGAACAGGCAGATGCTGATCCCCTGATTTTTAGCATTCAGTAGCTAGAGGTTTGCTTCATCTCCCTGACAGGTTGTCAAGTGCGAACAAAAGTGTATAAAACTCTTTTTATGACCAAGTGTACATGGAAGGAATACAGTCCACCACTCCAAGTAGGAATCAAACCTGAGATTATATGCTTACAATGTGAATTCTCTACCCCATGAGCTAAAGTCATCTCCAAATACTACTGTAATTACAAAAGGCACATCTGAGGTAAAATCCTGCACCGATAGTTCTAACCATAACTTTTCCCAAGACATGATTGAAGTTCTTACACAAATAAAGCCATTTAAGGAACACATAACACATCCCTATCTTAAACACATCTAACCCCAGAAAGAGACAACTCAATTGCCTTATGAGAATTTTACTTTGAAATCAAGATGAGCCGCTAACTGTCCTTTCACTTTTTACTTAACATTGAATTTAACACCACCTATAATTTACCAGTATTGCACCATATTAAGTTTGAAACTACTTCAATAGAATGAATAAGAAATAAATTTTTATCATTTGCAGGTGACATACATTTCAATAACCTAAATCATGAATATCTATCCCACAGGAGTTACTGCCTTTCTTCAACCTCCCTCCTTTACTGAAATAAGGTTTACAAAAAATAATATGTTTAACTTTATCTAAAACCTATGTTAAATGACAAATATCAATACCTCTCAGCATATGCAGAAGGGAAAGGGTGGCTTTCGTAAACAAATTCCATAAACTTTAGTAACATACACACCATCCCTCTATTATAATCCTTCCTCACTAGACAAAAAATATGCTTACTTGGTAGACTGTTCTCTGCTTACTTACCTTGAGTGCTTAATAACAGCAGCTTTAGGCATGCCAGTCGTGCCTGAGGTGTAGATATACACCATCTTATCACTAAATTTTACAGTTTCAATCTGGGGAGGAACAGTTGATGCTGAAGAACGAATTCCATCTTCCATGTTCACAGCATCTGAAAATATATACAGAAACAGGGGTCATCAATTTCTATCAGGGATGCATTCCACAGAAAAGTGACTTATAATGAAACATTTTAGAAAGAAGAATTTTCCCCATTAGAATTAATGTAATTATGGGTATACAGTTAACCCTCACTTTACGCGGTTAATGTAACCCGGAGGGTCCCGCGTAAAGTGAATAACATAACATATGGGATTAATTGAAATGGAGTCCGGGCCGATCCCCAAACTCCACTTTTTGACGACACACAACTATGTTGTAGTAAAAATTTTATCTTAACTTCATGATGGTATGAAAAAACAAGTAATATAGAAGAGGTTAGGTTAGGAAAAATAAAGGTTAACATAGGAAAAATAAAGGTTAGGTTAGAAAAACTAAAAGTTAGGTGGAACACTTACGGTAGTAGAAGAGATGGGTCGGCATACGGGGATGGAGGCTGGTTCCGAGGCAGAGGGCAGATTACTGGCCCTCAGGTGAATCACCAATACTAGGCGAATCACCATCACTGTCACTTACAGTTGTCAGGGCTTCCCTGACAAATCCCTCAAAGTCATCTTCACTGTCACTATCACTGGCTTGGGCTGACTGTGGTGGGTTGCGGGCGAAGAACTCGGTTATGCTTTTTTGACGGCTGGTGTTTATGTTGTCGTGATACACCGTGATGTACGGCTCCATAGCCTGCACCAGCCGGGTATGGAAGACTTCATAGCAGTCATCGTCATTGTCGCGGGAAAGGAAGGACTTCATTTTCTCTGCACACTCCATGGCACCCTTAATATCCCAATGAGTTAAACTGTGTTCTTCGGAGAATGACGCACCTTTTTCCTCCTCTTCACTGACGTGATCTTCTTCCAACATCTCGTCGGCAGTCACTTCAGGATCTCTGATCACCTCCAGGATGTCGTCGTTGGTGGTCTCGGAGAAGTCTGGAACTGTAACAGTCTGCGCAGCTTCTCTGGCAAGGTCCACTGCTACTGCAACATTCTGAACCTCACCAGTCACAGATTGACTCCTCCTCTCACCTGGTATTCCATGCAACACATGTCTCCATGCGTGACGAATTGTAGCAATAGACAGCTGATCCCATGACTCCACCAAGAAGTCCACAGCTTTCTTGATGTTAAATACTCTCCAGAATTGTTTGAAGAGTATTTTTTGCTGTTCCAACTGTTGATCCTCATCTTCGTCGCTCTTGCTATCGGTGGTGGTGTCACTCAGGTTACGCAACTCTTCCCTGGTGTTGGTGTAGTCGTTCAGGAGCTGGAATTTTTTTGTTGAGAATGCAGCTTTTACATTACAGATTAACTCATGGTCCATGAGCTGTAATATAGACGTAGTGTTGGGAGGAAGGAAGACCATTTTTACGTTGGGGTGACGATCTAACAGTAGGGGCGAGTGTCCTGGTGCGTTGTCCAGCAGCAACAAAATATTGAATGGCACATTCTGTCGCTCACAGAATTTCTTTACATCGGGAACAAAACAGTCATCAAACCAGGAGAGGGACAGTGTAGAGAACATCCACGCCTTACGTACGGTCAGCCAGTGGACATTTAGCTTGGTCATGTCCATGGTTTTGTAGGCATGCGGCTCGCGTGCTGTGTGGACCACCGATAACTTGAGCTTACAGGTACCGGAGGCATTGGTGGTAAACAGGACGGTGATGCGTTCCTTCTGCATCTTCCGGCCCCGAATCCTGCTGGCATTCTTTACAACGAAGGACTTGGAAGGTAGCTTTTTCCAGAAAAGACCAGATTCGTCCATGTTAAACACCTGGTCATCACTGTACTGTCCTTCCTCCATAATCTCACGTAAAAACGGAGGAAATTCCCTAGCCGCAGCACGGTCAGCACTCGCTTCTTCACCACCAATGTTTATATTGGTGATCTTGTTCCGGATCTTAAACCTCTGTAACCACCCAGAGGAAGCATTAAAGGGTTTGGGCTCTGTAATTCCCATCTTTCGTGCCACTGCGATGTACAGTTCACGTGCGTAGTCCTTAACAGAGCGCGTGTCGACCGCCATGTTCCGTCGCGCCTGACGCACCAAGTACCTCACAAGTAATTTTTCTGTCTTGAGAAGCACCTGGTTGTGAAAATACTTGATCATAGAAGCACCTGTAGACTTTGTGATCTTCATGTGCTCCTTTATCTTGGCTGCATCCTTCTTTATTGTTCGAATCGTAGATTCATTCACACCATGCTGGCGCGCCAAATCAACCTGCCTTGTTCCTTTCTCCAACTCTTGGATGATGGTATACTTCACCTCGTAGCTTAAGGAACGTCGTGTCTTCTTTGGCTTAGTGCCGCTGGGTCCAGGTAAGGAAAGGTTTCTCTCTGGGGGTGGTGGTCCGGCGGAAGCCATTTTCCGGAACAATGGATGCGCGTTTACACGGTGTGGCCTTGAGGGATGAAACTGCCGCGGCTAGGTCAAGCATCGTCTTTTCTCCCTTCCTCCCACGGGTGGACACGTCATAATACTTTAAGCCAATTACAGCTAGCAGCAGAGGGGGGTAGGGATGCATGGCCAATCACAGTCCGATACGTCATATGACGTCAGTGATAACGCAACAAAGACACACACTGTGCAACCTTACCGCGCCGCTTGCCCAAGCGGAGGGAGGAGGAGGGAGAGGCGAGGAGCACAGGCAAGCAGGCGGGCGGGTGGCGGGTGGGGCGAATCTAAAAATAGCGTGGCGCCGGACACACTCCGCGTAATGGGGTTCACGTACCGCGTAATGTGAGCACGTGAGGTTCTGGCAAGGCACCGCGTAAACGTGGAAATGCGGAATGCGGGACCGCGTAAAGTGAAGGTTAACTGTATACAGTCCAACATGTACAGTAATAACCCTTGAAATCTCAGCACATCAGATTACAATGGGGTCATTATGACATACAGGGGACCCCAAAAATTCGCGGGGTTAGGTTCTCAAAATGGACGCGAATCGCCAAATCCGCGAATAACATTTGCGGACCAGTGTGGGGGTATTTTTACTTGTGTACAAAGAAATTTATATTCCCTTTATGTGTTTGCCCTTACGACAATTATTTCTTTCACCTGTATTGTATATAAATGTGTGTGTGTGTGTGTGTAGACACACACAAAACACATACAAATAAATAATATTTGGAAAATTCTCCCACAAATAATCAGAAACAAATTTATTAAAAATGTGAGTCTACCCTCAAGTCCATGCTTTATTAATAAAGTAATAAAGCACAGACTTGAGGGTAGACTATCACATTTTCAATAAATTTGTTTTTGATTGCAGTATTTGTGCGAGGATTTTCGAATTACAGTATTATTTATGTTTGTGTTGTGTGTGTGTGTCTACACACACACACACACATTTACAATACTGTACAGGTAAAGGAAATTACTGTCTCTAGAACGAATGGCTCCCTGTCCCAGCCGCAAAAATGTCGGCAACTTTAAAACTACCCACAGATATTCTTGGGTACATCCATGGTGTCATCCGCGAATAATAGAGGACCACAAAATAAAAATCTGTGAACTTGGGGGGGCCCCCTGTATTGTATTTGAAATGGAGATATTGTACATTCCTAACAACATTATTTGTTACCTTTGAGTGATACATGGTGGCTCAATATGACTACTTGTTACATTTATACATCTGATTAATGTATATAGTCATGTCGCATCTTACACGAGGGTTATGTTCCAAAGACGCATATAGTCAAAATTACCTTTGAAAATCCCTTAAATCACCTGTATCGCAGTAGTGGTCCCTCGGTTAAGGAGCGCCCCGGTTAACGAGATTTCGGTTAAAGAGTTACCTTCTATAACATTCTTAACTTTGATTAACGAGTTACCTTCCATAAGATTCTTAACTTTGGTTAACGAGCACTGCACACACAAATACCAAAAGATTATGTACAGTAATACCCTGTACCTGTATCGCAGATAATAAGTGGTTCTCTTTAAACTTTCTCAAAGACCTTGATTAGTTGTGGCAAGAGCCATTAGTTTTTCATAAGGAATAGGAATATTGCTTTTATACAAAATAAAATTATACAGTACTATACTATACACAGTACGGTACTCATGAATACAGTACTGCAAGTTAATCTCATGTATAGGTTGACCCCTTGACCCCTGACTTTTTGTAAAAAAAAATCCCAAATTTTTCATATATACAGTAAGGTATTTTTTTACAGATACTCAGGCACCAATTGAGAACTAAACCTTGTGGTACAAAGAAGCATTTTTTTTCATTTAGTCATTTTATTATTTTTGTTATTTCTTTTTTGTATACTACCCAAAAATAGTGCAAACACAAGTTACTATTAGTTACTTATTATGGTCATACTATCAAATTGCTTCATTACTGTACATACAGTGTTAAAACAATATTTCATTTAAAGATAAACGAGATGAAAAATACCATTAGTTATGAATCCACTCAACAACAGGACAATGCTACAGCAATAACAGAAGATGCTACCAACAGTCTTGCCAGGTGGATTTCAAAGCCCTCAAAAATTTCCTTGTGTTTCATTACACCCCCTTTTTTGCCTAAGACTCTGAGTTTCCCGTCCTGATGCCCCTGAGCCTATCAAACTTTCTCTCAGAGTTTCTGACGGGGCATCCTCCACTCAGGCTGAACTTATAGCTCTCCTTGCTGCCCTTCTCGCTGAGGAAGAAGCAGATGGTTTCTGCCCCTTGCTTGTCTGCTGCGATTCCAGGTCTGCTCTTGACGGGATCGCATTTGGATCAGGGGAAAATAAGGACCTCATCCTCTGGTTACGCTGCAACAAGGCCACACCTGACTACGTTGTTCCTCGAACACATTTACAGTTTAGGACCCAAATTCACCGTAAACAGAGAGAAGCTCGGGAAGCAGCCATCCCCCTGGACTCCCCGCCCACCTGGTACAATTTCCTCCATAAACTTCCTGACCTCTCGTATGTCTATGGGAAAGGGTCGCGGAAAAGGGACGTGATTGCTGCCTGTATCATCATTGGGTATGACTTTGCTTGCGAGATTGGTATCCCCACATCCCCTGAGCAACGCTCTTGTGCATTATGCAGAAGACCCGACAGCAGCACCCTTATCCACTACCTCCTAAGATGTCCCCACACACAACGCTTCCGTGACGCCTGCTGGACCACCACTCCACGACCCCGACGTTGACACGATGATCCTCTCCATACTGGACAGATATTGTGTAAATAATATTGATAATGTGTTAAAGGAATATCCTTCCTTGCTTAGGCTTTAGTAAGCCCCTTTATAATATTTATACTGTATATACTTGTGACACTTGCCAGATGTTTCTGGCGTTATTGTACAAGGGTCCCTAGTGACAGCACTAGGATCCCGCTTCCTCTATCAAGGAATAAACAATTGAAAATGAAATTGAATTGACTCTGAGTTTCAAAGCATAACTTATACTCCGCTATATACAGTAAAACACTGTATATGGCCCCCTTATGACATCTGGTCACCATGTATGAGTATTATTTCTAGCCTTGCCATGCAACCTTTGACTGTTCTGCTTTATACAGTAATACAATAAAATACCTAAACTAGCACAGTAAGCACATCATCTTAACTCTTAGGAAGACATCAAACTTTTCATTTACTCCAACAGATAGGTATTAAGGACATGATTTTATTGTGGCAATATACTTTCCTTTACTATACAGTACTAACATTACAAACAAAAACCTTCATTTGTGTTGGATGGATCAAGAATTGCACAACTCTAAAGAAGGAAAGGAATAATTTAAAATTGTGCAAGACAAGTATAGAAAAAGCAAGAATGGAGACCCCCAAAAATCTACAAACTTCCAGATATTCTCAACTTTCAATGCAGTGACAGTACATCTACATACCTTTAACAGTGAGTTCTGCTTCACCAGCACCAGATACATGCAAGGGAAGGCTGGCAATACCCTCTGAGTCTCTTATATCACCAATGGCTGAAAATAATACATTTTAGGCAAAAAACAGTTCTCACTTATCTTAATCAGGATTATAAAGACAGTGTCATAGTTTTAGGTAGATCGGTGGTAGTGGGAGTGGATTATATTATATAAAGATAATAATATGTCGTATTTCTTATTTCTTACCGTAGAGTTCGATACCTTCACACTGGTTACTTACAGGAGATTATGGCGTATCTACGTAGTTCACTCGACATTCCATGATTTATACTTGATAAATGATGATTTAATGAATTCCATTAATTTCCAACATCCATCTAAATTATTGGTTATACTTTGTCATAACCAATCAGTCATTACCTTTAGTAATAATAAGATAGGATCACAGATACGGGCAGATAATTGCACTTACATTTATTTGTCAAGCTTCCACACAATGATTTACAAATTTGCATGGATATATGAATCACTCACGTTCACGCTGTAATAAAATTAATCTTCTAAAAGAGAATTTTCAACTTGGGGACACATGTGATTACTCTACTATGGGTATGATTTCACAGAGCCTTAATTCTTCAAGTGATACATTTATTGTCAGCCTGGATTGCTTTTGTTGCAACCAGGCTTCCGCACAAGAACTTCTTTCCATGGCCATAACAACAAAAAGTACTCTTGGGTTACCACATATAGTCTCGCGTCACTGACAGTCACCGTAGACGGTTGTCACAGCAAGGAGAACTGGTAAGCGTGACTTGAATTAACCACTTAGGTGCAATAGACCAGCCTGGATTGCTTTTGTTGCAACCAGGCTTCCACACGTGATATTTCCACGGGGATAACAAACCTAGGTTAACACACTTAGTCTCGTGTCGATCACGGTCACTGTAGACGGGTGTCATGCAGGAGAACTCTGTAAGCATGAATTAATTTACCATTTACTGTAGGTTTGATAGGACAGCCTGGATTGCTCTTGTTGCAACCAGGCATCCACATGTGATATTTCCACGAGGATAACAACCTAGGTTAACACACTTAATCTCGTGTCGACGACGGTCCACAGGGCGGAGTGGCGGTGGAGGACTCTGTGTGGTGTGGTGCCCCGCTCCCTTTCAGGAGGGAGAGAGTCAAGACGACTTCTTAACTAACCCATGGCTCAGGGGATACTACTTAAAATGAGGTTTTTGGGTGTGAAGCGATGAACAGTACAACACTGTTTCACTGCCCACCCCCCCCTAAAGCTGGCTAACATACACTAATGGAAAATACATGTCCCAGTTATGCCTCGCCGGGTGTCTTATCTCTAGTAAAACAAACTTTGGAGTTGGTTGCGTGGGTAAGCCTAACGCAACCCATGACAGACAGTATGTTTTATTACTTTGTTTCCATTGGTCCATTACTAGTTGATAAAATATTATATTGTATATACTTCAAATCACTGACAAAAACTCATTCTTAATGAAAGATTTAATCATCTGGCAATCTACATATGACAAAAATGCCATAAAAAAATACAGCAATGTTATCAAAATATCAAATGGCTTAAGCACTTCAGGAATATTGTACTGTATGAAGAAAAACAGAGGAAAATGTTTACCTATTAAAGTAGTTTAATAATGAAAACCATTCAAATAAATGTTGAGAAGACTTTCTTCATGTACTGTACAGTACTTGACTAGTGTCTTCATTTTATTTCCTATTTTCCATTACTTGTGCTAAGTTATGCAATGTCACATTTGGGGAAAAATTTCCAATGTACTAAATATAAAAGACTCCTCACACATTGTATGAACTGATGGAGGAAATAAGTTGAAAACTGAATCAAGGTGCTATAATATTTCCACACTAATCTGGCCTGTAAGCCACGCTCCTTTTCTATACTAATAGCGGATTGGTTCATAGAAATTTCAAACTAAATGTGTTCACAAGTGGTAAGCAGACTTGTTAGTATCTAAGATAATGTTAAATAATTATCTGAACTACCAAAATGCAAATGATTTCAAGGCATTAGCAATTCTGAGAGGATGTTAGAAAATTGTAAATATTAACCTTTAGGCCCCGGGTGGCGTTCCAGAATGTCCGGTTATTCCCGCCACTTTTTTTTATTTTTTATTATTATTATTGGAAAAAAAAAATTTTTCTTGATTTACTGGGAAGGGGGGGGTGTTGTGTACTGCCAGCAGCACCTAACCAGTGGCTTAAGGGTAAATCATAAAAGGCCGACATAAGAATGTGCTTGTACAAGCGCAGTCCAGGGGTTAAGACTCTCAGAGGAACCAATCAGTTATTTGTAACTATGGACGAGGGGCGGGGCAGGCCAGCTTAGTGTGGAAAGGGAATAATATGCTACTGATATTCTACCTCAAATCATTCATCTTAATGACCAATTACTGTAAGATACTAATATGTCATTTACCACCAAATTAATCAAAATGTACTCTTGCAATGAGGCAATGAAATGTACTAGTTTATATTCACTTGTGATGTGCCATGTTTAACTGGTATTTTTGCTGGTAAGTTTTCTGTACAGTATTTCCAATATGTAAACCATGCTTACTGAATGGGTTATGTTGATCTTAACTATTACTGTATAAAGATGCTTTACCTGCATCCACTAAAGGGTATGAGTATATTATTGTGTGTTATTCCAAGAATCTTATTGACTCTACAGCCTTGACATTTTTTTACAAATTCACAGAGATACAAGTAAGTTTCTCTTTCATGTACTTTTCAGTGCTTCCTTTACCTAACATTGGGTTGCTGATATATCTGGAAAGACTCAAATTGTCTGCAACTAAGCTTTTTCATCCAGGCAAAGGACATTGACTTTACTGGTATATGCCTGATTGCCTGTTGGTGAGTGTGGATACAGCACACTGTATATTAAACCATCGGTACACAAGGAGGCAGCATGGCCAGGACTGTACTCTACCACATTCACTTACCCAAGTTGGAAACTCGGGTATCCATTTACAGCTGGGTAAACTAGAAGTGCCTAGGGATAGAACCACCGACCTATAGAACAGGAGGTAAAGGATTTATCCACTCAACCACTGCACTCCACACATGACTACACAATAAAGCACTGATTCACCGAAAAATAATTTTCAAATAATTAAAATATTCATTAATAAAAAGATGTATCAGAGAGCTTACCTGCCTGAAGTTCTGCCCCACAAATAATAGCTTTACAAGAAGCCACTCTAATACAGTGCTTCAAAGAATCAAGTCGCAGGTTGTAGTTGATCAATGCTGGCACAGCTCCAAGCTATAGAAACCAAAGAGTATCAGGTTACATCAATTCTTATAGTCCTTTTTAATTTTCCGTTTTAACTCCTCTTTGTACATTTGCTAAATTCATATCTAACAAGAAATTCATTAAAAATTAAGTCAAAATCCCAAAGAGGAGTTGAAGTTGCTGGAGATCATGGAGTCTGCAGCTTGCATTTTGTAAATCATTAAACAGATGGTGTATATTACAGTGACTTTGAGGATCAAACAGCGATGTGTAATCAATTGCAGTTATACAGTATGTAATAGTGATTCTCATATCATCAGATATATCAACATTCTATTCCAGGAACAATTCAAACCAGCCCAGATGTTTAGTTAAATAAGTCAATTGGCTGATGACAATATATATAAGTAAATCCTGATGTTGTTATAAGTCTCTGGAAAAGTTTGGCAGCAAAATTGTGTGATATTAGTATGTTATCAGTTTCAAGGTTTAAATTTATTGAAAATGTACAGCAGTATTTTTATGAAAGCAATACAAAAGTGCTGTTGTGGAATTATTACTAATGGAAAAAGACCTGAAATGCTTCTATAAACTTAACAATACACAATTTAATGAGGGCTAAGCTGTTGGATATTTGTAAAAAGATTAATAAAGTACAGTACTGTAATTGCAAAAAAAATTGGTCTACATGCATGTATGTGTATAATATTTTGATAACATATATTATAAAAGCTTTAATTCTATGGTGGCAATCAAACAAATTTGATTACATGAAATGCATCACTAGTGTTTTGTTTAAGGTGTAGCACCAATACAAAAAAAGAGAAATTTAAGCAAATTATCAAATGAAATACATTATTAACTACATTCAATAAAACTTAATAGCCACAAATTAAAAAGTACTACCTTGGTCAGACCCAGCCATATGCATACATATTCCACACGATTTTCCATGAACAGTGCTATGGCGTCACCATGCTTCACACCCTTTTCCGCAAAATAGTTGCCCACTCGGTTACTCAACTCATCTACCTGAAAACAAAAAAACAGAGGCATCTTTAAATCATAGCTTCAACATAGTATCAGGACTTCATGTGAAGTGCCAGCAGCAGCTCCTTCATTCTTTAATGACAGGTACAGAGATTACTGTACTAGATTTCCACATTCAAATAAAGACAAACAAGATTCTAAAAGAGGAATTTACAAGCATTATTTAGCCCTCAGTTGGTAAATTACATCAAATGAAATTACAAACTCAAATATACTGTATACCAATATTATACTATACTGTGCTATACTGTATATGCTACAGTAATATCAAACTTTTGACAACCTAAAATTGGAAAATGGTATGATGTGAAGTATAGTTACAGAAAGTTTTATTTTGGAAGATGGTTGAGGGAACAAGGTATTTACTGCAATGGGGATAACAGGCCAGTACACACAGCACAGTAAGTATATTTACATTCACATTATCATACAATATGACACAACAGACAAAATGTTTAGGTCTTTGATCGTTTGTTATGTTGGTTGCCCTCAATATGCCTTATATGGGAAAAAGCAGATATGCCAGTGCCTCACTTTTCTCTGTACTGTAATGTACTGTATTATGGAGTATTTGTGTACAGTACAGTATATGGTAAGCATAATTACAGTACAGTACTAGAATCTCATTTTGACCGTCACTCGTGTTATAAAACAAGAAGCATTGTTATTATATTGATTAATTATGGAACTATGGTAATTGGCAGATGTTGTTTATTGGTGGTTAGAGTGACATGAAAGAAAACATAGAGAAACGATATGAATGGATCATTTCACTGAGTAGACAAGAGTATATAAAGTTGCCATGTGCATTTAACACTTTGTTCTATGCATTGAGTACAACATTTTACATTACAATATAACTAAAATATGCGATTTTTTTACTTTTACTTTTATCCTCTTTGCCAATGATTGGCCTGTTAGCCACTTGGGCGGTCGGTCACGTCTCTGTTACGCACTGTTGGCAAATACTGGGCATGCAATGGCTCCTGAATGTACCTGAACTTCCTCCAGTGTTGGTCAAGTCTGGTCTTGAAACAGCTCACACTCGGTGCCGTCACAACATTCTCTGGCAGGTTGTTCCAAGAGTTCACAATTCTCACTCCGAAAAAGTTTGCTCTCACAGTTTTCTGGACTTACAGCTTCTTCAACCTTAAGCTGTGACCACTTGTGTGGTGGATATCTGCCGGCTCCAAGTAAGGACACTCGACTGAGTAGTGCCCTTTGAGATACATGTATTTATACACCTCAATTAGGTCACCCCTTGCCTGTCTGTAGTATAAGCTAGGCAGTTGCAGTTACTCGACTCTCTCTGGATAGCTGAGGTTCATCATATAAATCCTTAATCATTTGTTTTAGATAGATAAGAATTTTTTTTATGGTAAGGAGGAAAATATTTGGAGACAGATTTTGTATAACTAGTATTGCATGTAGGAACCCCTTATGTTGATAACATAAACTGAGTCTCTGAGATCACTATCTCAGCTGTCAAGCTGTCTCCTGATGGCTCCTGGTGGCACCATTATCTTGATAATGCCTTACTCATAGTGATATGGTGGGCGTTGAGACACCAGTCTGTTGTGTAATTTTCTGAAAGCTTAGGCCCTCACTGTGAAGAGTGATAATGGTCTTTTGCAATGCTTCTGAATTCTTCATTGTGAATACAGTACCAAGTTCATGACAGGAGTTTACAGTTTAGTATCGACTCGTATGGTGTTCTATTTGTGTAAATAATTTGAAAAAATTAATCAGCAAAAGTAAACCTTTCAAAAAGATGGACACAGAGAGGTTTGTCTCTTATCAAACTCAGGAGTTGGCACCTTTTGCAATTGAGTTCATCTTATTTTCCAAAACATGATTCATATACCCATACCAGTACTGTATATTGCACTGTATAATATCTGTAACATCAAGCACAGTATAAAGACAATGTTCGTGTACACTATTTTGTTTATGATCACATGCATGCTACATTGTAAAAAATGACACTTGCCAATTTAAACATTAAATTTATTTTCTTTATCAATATAACAAGAGTCTATGAGTCAGCATTACTGTTAAACAAATATAACTGTAATATATGTTAACAATTTCATTGTAGCCATGTTTCCTTTCAATTGTTCTATTCCTATGTGGCAACTCGTCTCCTTTCACATGCTATATTCCTCTATGTACTGTATGTCAACATATCTCTTTTGTTACACGTTTCTAAATACCTGTACACATAAAGCAAAGAAATCTGTGATGTCTTGGTTTTGATAAGTTTTATTACAAATTAATTATTTTATTCCAAAGGTAACATGTAGAAGAACTACAAATATTATAAAGACATTATTTAGAAATTCACTTCACAATGAGGCATAACCCTTCTGACACAACAGCAACCATATTGCTCATTCTGAAATCCATTGGACCCAGCTGCATTGATATTTTTTGTTGTATGTGTAATACATTATTGTGCTCCTCTCTAATCTATTTCATAACTTGAGAGAATCCTTCAAGGGGTCTGTTCGCAAATTTGAACTAGATTTGGGCATACTACCAATGCTAAGTGAGCTACGGTGTGCATCACAGAATACAAACCAAACCTAACCTTAGTTCATTAAGTTAGGTTAGATTAGGTTGAGTAAGTCTGGTTTGTACTTGTTTATAGTCATACTGGGTAAATGTTTATTTTGAACAAAGGCTTTCCACTCTATATCCAACTCTCTAGCCAATATAAATAAAGAGCTAGACCTAGGTTGGTAGTACAGTACAGTAATAGCCTAAAACATATACAGTACTCTACAGTATGTGGCATCAGTCTCACCTGATTAAAGGTCCAAGTCTCATTTTCAAAGTAAAATGCAACCTTGTTCCATTTTTTGCACAACTTCTTGGAAAATTTTGGGCACAGAAAGATTGTTTTTCTGGGCATGACGAATTTTCCTCAATAACTTGAGATACCGGAACAAAGCTCTAGGAAAAGAAAATTGAAGATTACAGTACACAGTACAGGTAATTAAAAAAATATATCTTCATCTAAAACTAAAAATTAATTAGAAAACGTCATTATATGAATACTTGTTGTTAATTATAATTTTCCTCACTGGAAGGGACATTTAGTTGTTACTCTGTCTCTCCATCACAAATTTTGTGTTGGCTGCACTTTATAATAACTGAGTTAAAGGAGGAAATTTGATTACTGTACTGTATCATAAACAGGAAGACTGAGGTCAATTAGAATATGGGATATATATATATATATATATATATATATATATATATATATATATATATATATATATATATATATATATATATATATATATATATATATATATATATATATATATATATATATATATATATATATATATATATATATATTAGTACATTATACCATGACTGTACTGTATTATAATTACATTTGTTTTCAACGAGATGAATGTGGGGAGGAACACATAGCTGTCTTGGCCTCACAAAATTATCTACAGTATATTAAAGGTAGCTCTACCATGTACACAATAAATAAGAAAGATATAAAAAGACATGAAAATACATGTAAATGCAGGGAATCCTATACTGTACTATATGATAAGTATAAGGAATGAAAGTGGTGAGTGATGAAGTGTGACTAAAAGGAGGTAAACATGCAGGCTGATAGGTGAGGGCACTAGGTACTGGGATCACCAACAGTCTTATCCACTACATGATCTAAAAAGTATCTGTACACATTTTGCACAAAATAATCAGACACCACAGATGATAGGTATTGCAAATTTGCCAAACAGTACAAAGTTAAGCTCGCGACATTTCTGTTTATTCATAGTACAGTAAGTACAGTATTGTTATTGCATGCACATTCAGGAGAAAACATTAATCTAAGTGAACAATGTCTGGTTCATGTTGGTGGCTACATTGTGGCATACCGGTAGGTATATTTATCATTTAGGAAATCGTTGGACCCAATGTGTACAGATACTTTTTTGATCATGTGTACCAGTAGGTATTATATGAGGAGCTTGAAAAAAAAATATTTTATTTTAAAAATATCTGTACAGTACTTGTAAGTTACAATTGATATACCTACAGGTAAATGTCCTTGATCATTCTGCATTTACTGAAAATAAATACATCTGTATACAAAGGTGGACCTAGAATATTCTTATGGGGGTTACCAATGGTCATGACAGACAAATTTATGATAGAGCAAATTTAGGACACAGTATTTAGACAAGGAAAATATAAAAAATACAGTACAGTGGTCCCTCGGTTAACGAACGGTTGAATTAACGAAATTTTGGTTAACGAATTACCTCCCATAAGGATCTTCAATTCGGTTAACGAACAAAACTTCGATTAACGAAATCCTTACGACAAACACATTTTGTTGTGAGCATCAGCTGATCAGCTGATGGGCTAGTCTGCCAATTCATTAATCTGTTCTATGTTTACATTAGTTTCCAGTGGTGTAAACATCAAGAAAGTTTTGCTCTTTAATATTTTAGCATTTTTTATATTAAAATTATTAGTCATTTTAAAATTTAATTAACATATTAATAATATATGCAGTACAGGGAACTAGTTTTTTGTGCGCCCATCAGCCGCTTGACTCACCTACCAGGCGTCAAGTTTGGCTTTGTTTACAGTGGAGTGAACATCAATTTTGTTGGTGTTTTGAATATTTTTGCATTTTTACATTAAAATTATTGGTCAATCTGAAATTTAGTTAACATATTGATAATATATAGCACAGTGCAGTGTTGATTTAAATAAAATACAGTGACCCCTCGTTTAACGAACACCTCGGTTAACGTAATTTCGATTAACGAACTGCCTTCCATAAGGATCTTCAATTCGGTTAACGAAAAAAAATTCGGTTAACAAAGTTCTTACGAACCGACCTCAACATGTTTTCGCTTGCACTGACCGGGCAACCAGCTTTAGTATCAGTCCGCCAATACATTAATCGGTTTGGGCTTAAATTCTTACTATTTTAGTAAATATCAAAGTTTATACTATTCAATAATTTTAAAAGTTTAATATTCAATTTTAGTCATTTTAACAATTATTGAACATAATTGAAGGTAAAGTGACTAGTTTAATGCTCGACATCCAGCCTCTTAACACAGCAAACAGGAGTTAGTCTCTCTGTTTTCACTGGAATGCTTGAGACTCTCTTCAACTAAGCGCTTTTGTGTTTCCAAACAATTGGTCATTTGAAATATATTTTACATATTGACAATATATAATGCAGTGCAGTGTTGATTTAAAGAAAATAATCTTGAATTACACCAAAGAGAGCTAAAATTTTATGGGTGAAATGGCACCATGAGGTGACTTCTCTTCTTCCTTCTCCTCCACCCCATTCTAAATCCCATCATCATCATCATCATCCAGGAGCCTTCTACATACACACCTCAAAGTAAGTGAACTTTTCTACCATTTTTGTTGAATTTAGGAAATTTTCGGTGAGCTGGAACCAATTACCCAAAAACCCATTGAAACAATGGTTTCGGTTAACGAACGACCTTCTGGAGGCAGTTGAGTTCGTTGCGGAGGGGTCACTGTAATCTTGAATTACACCTAGTGAACTTTAAATTTTATTGGTGAAATTAATGTATCAAGCATGGTGCTCTGAAAGGTGATTTCTCTATCCCCACTTCTAATTCCCATCATCATCATCAACCAGGAACCTTCTACATTACACACCTCAAAGTAAGTGTACTTTACTGCATTGGTTTTTTTCTTTGTATGTACTTTTCTGTGAGCTACAACCAATTACCCAATATCCCATTGAAACAATGGATTCGGTTAACAAAATTTTCGGTTAACGAACAACTCTGTGGAATGAATTGTGTTGCCAGGGGACATATACTACTGTAGAGGAAAAAATCCTAATATCCTTTGGCCATGTACCTGTCCAAAAGCCCCCATTCTCCTTGAATGAAACTCTTACTGTACACTTTATATTACAACAGCAAAGGTAATAGGCAAGTACAGTAGTTGCAATAGTCTACCAACCTCACGTCTCTTGGAAGTGTGCCAAGGCGGGTCATCCATAACCTCAGAAACTGCCAACAGGTTTCCTTACACCCATTGGGTGGTGGTGGTGGCTTGTCCTCCACATACTCGTCAGCAGATAGTTCTTCACTGATTATTGGATCACGCATCACCATTCTCTAAACCCTAGCGCTTTGATTTCACCTCTCACTAACTGAATATTTTCAAACAGAACTGCACCAAATATTTTATGTATTAAATAAGAACATATGCAATACAAAGGCAGGTATTACATGAATCATAAGAAATACAAAATCAATTAAATTCAATATAGGTAATAATCATATATACTATGTGAAAAATCACATTCAATGTATTTTATTTTGACATTTGGTTGTCCTCCACAAAGATTGTGGCTTATTCCACAGAGTAGCTCTGAGATGGCTTTCCTGTCTAGGGTGTAAGCAGACAGCATACAGAGAGGTTGTGTCACACTACACCTGAATCCACACCAATATTACTGTACTGTAGTTGTGATACTTGTGGACTCTGGCAAAACTGCCATTAGAATTTCTAAGTGGAATGACCTAGTAGGTAAGTGCAAGTGCATTTCACAGTGAAACCTCTCACCATCACTAGCTATCTCCTTTGATATAAATGTTAGTTTTATCTTTGTTATAGCTGTAAATAGTTTAAATTTATATTTGTACAATCATGTGATATCTGTAAAATTAGACCACATGTGAGAGAGAATACCAAGTGATTTGTAACACAGTGAATCTTGAAATTAATTATTTACTCATAACCACTAAGATAGTCTGTGATTAAGAGGTGGTGGCAGCACTCTACCACCCGAGTGGTATTTGTGAGATTAAATACTAAGTGACTCGCAATAACTGTACTATAATTATATAAACACTGTATACCCATAAAACCCAACATAACTGCCTTTGTTGTATCACTTTTGTTTAACCCTGACATCCGCTTATACACCTCAATCATATCGCCCCCCACTGTACGTCTGAGGAATGTAAATTCGTATGCATTAATCTGTCTCTGTATTCAAGGTTCCTAATGCCCAGGATTAGCCTTGTCATCCTCCTCTGTATGCTTTCTCGGGATTCGATATCCATTCTGTAGTCTGGTGACCAGAACTGAACCGCATAATCCA